CAGTGAGTTGTGAAACAGGCCTGACCTCGGTGCCCCGCGCGTTTCCCCAGCCCCCCACATATTTTAGTCGTGAGAGCTCGGCCCTGTTTCTTTTTTCGGGCGCTCTGCTAAGTTTTTCGCGTGCCTTATAGCAATTACAAAGACCGCTTGACGTGAAGCGGCATGTGTGAGTAAACTATGGAGACGTTTTTTGGTTCCCCACCCCCGAAGAACCCCCAAGGGAGGAAGTACGTTTAGAAGGCACGTGTTGGAAGGTCGGTGGTGGGTTTCACAAGGGGGACGCGACGGACAGGACCCCGCGCTGGCAGTGTAGCGCGTAAGGCGCGGCGTGAATAGCTTAATGAGGAGAACTTCCACCAGCGACAGTCCTGGAGCTGGGCTCAGGCGGCGGCCTTCAGCTCAAGGGGTGCTGTGTGGGATGCGGTGGTGCAGGCGGGTGAGCAAAAACATCGCGAGAAAGCGAGAGCCTCAGCGCGCGGCACGTGGAACGCGTAGGCCGGGCCTGCAGAGCTTGCGGCGCTGTGGGTGCGTGTACGCCGGCGCTGCTTGTGCTGCGGAAGCATATTTCTTGTTACTACTCTGAAAAGTGTAAAAGTCACTGATTTAGGAGAAAATGAACTTCGTGGGTAGAGAAAGCAGCGGTGGCAAAGTCTATAAGCCCGAAATAAAGAATTCATATCCATTTCCTTTTTAAATTCAGCTCCCGTTGTATCAAAGTGATTCAGTTATGCACAGTAAGAAGTCATAGTTGTACTTACTGAAATACTAAAACACGGTAGCCTGAAACAACCATTTCATTAAACTAGGGAGTTCTGTGGCTCCTAGGTCAGTAGGTCAGATTTGCTCTGATAACAGGGTAGCCAGGCTTGCTGCTGCTAGCGGCCTCTCCATGCGGCCTGAGCTCCACCTCAGCAGGAGCCCAGGGCTCCAAGTGCAGAGTCCAGGAGCTGCCATCTTTTGACCAGCCTCCAGAGTAACACAGTGTTACTTCAAGAATTGGACAAGGGTTTTAAAAATTAAGATTTTTAAATTAAGAAATTTCTACACAGCAAAGGAAGAAGCCAATAGAGTGAAGACACTACCTCCAGAATAGGGGAAAAAAGCTTTGACAACTATTCTTTTGGATAGAAGAACTAATCTCTAGGATATATAAAGAACTCAAAATTTAAGTTAGACCTCTCAAAAAATAAAAGATCCAGTAAAAAAAAAAAAAAAAGAAACTGGAATGAATAGCCCCTTCTCAGAAGAAATACAAATGGTTAATAAATACATGAAAAGGTGTTCAGCATCTCTGGCCATTAGAGAAAAGCAAATTAAGACAACACTGAGAGTCATCCCAGAAAGAATGACTATCATCATGCAATCAAATGGCAGCAAATTCGGTGAGGCAGCAGGGAAAAAGGAACCTTCTTCATTGTTGGTGGGAATGAAAAGTAGTATAACCATTATGAAAATTCCTCAGAAAACTAAAACCAGACATTCCATTTGACCCAGCTACTCCCCTTCTAGATATCTTCCCAAAAGAGTTAGAAGACATCATATTAGTGATGCACACACAGCCATGTTTATAGCAACACAATTCATAATAGCTAGAACTTGGAAGTAGTCTGTGTTTAGCAGCAGGTGAATGGCTAAAGAAAACATGGCTTATACATGATGAATGACTACTCCACCATGGAGAAGGCTAAATTTGAACCATCTATGAAAATGGATGCACCTTGAGACTATAATGCTAAGTGAGATAAATCAGACACAGGGGGTTAAATATTACATGGTTTCTCTTATTAGAGGAACCCATAATATAAATAAAAAGCAAAACAAAAGATAGATGAGAGGAAGTAGGGAACTAGATTTTTGCAAAAGGGAAGGAATCCAAGAGATGGTGTGGGCCAGAGTGGAGGAAAAGGAGAGTAGGTGAAGAGTGAAGTGGGTGAAAAAGAAATAGAGCATGTTGTATGTGTGTACCTGTACTCCATTGAGGACTGTAATCACAATATACTTCATGTACTAATAAATAAAAAGTTTTTAAAAACTTAGGACTTTAAAGCTAAACTGGTGCTCTGGCTTCCACATGCCGCCGTCATCCCTGGTGGTACCAAGAAAATTTCAACAGAATCAGACCTGTTGAATATTTTCTTGGCGTGCCAGTGGGCCAGAGCTTTGCTAAATGTACACACACGTCTTCCTGTGCATGGGGAGGGAAGACACTTCCCTCCAAATATGGGTAAATTGTGAATAAGATTCATGCTTCCGTTTCATGACCTTTCCTCGTGCTCTTGGTGAGGAGGTAAACAAATCCAGAGTCAGGCCCAGATCCAGGTCTCTAGCCAGGTTCCCAGTAGTAATTTAGTAATTTCCTTCACATTCTTTTAACTTTTAGGTGAGAAACAATGTCTGTACCTTTATAGGAAAGGAAACACAACCCACTTTGCAAAAGATTGTCAAAGAACTCGTAAACATTTCTTTAAAAAGCCAACCTACTGAATTTAGTGCTCTAAAAGAAAACAGCAAACATCAGTGGTTTAATAAGACAAAGATTTCTGACAAAAGATCCAGTGTGAATGTCCTTAATCAGATGAAATGTTAGACTCAAGGACAGATTTCATTTTACTTTTAGTAGTTCTGATGTTCTTTTGAATATTTCTTCTGTTATTTACTCCATATGTCTAAATATACTTACATTGCAGTTTCTTCATTTTTCAATTTCAGACATTACCATTGAATTTTTCCTATGGAAGACAATGATATATATATCTATCTGGTTCTTTTATACCACCATTCCCAATCTGTGATCAGTCCCCCTCTCCCTGTTTTTTTTTTTCCATAATTTTATTGAGAAACAAATAGCAGTGAGACAGTTTCAAACCAAATTGGTAGGACAGTTTCAATAATTAACACATTGCATACATTCTGCCTAGTGGCTAATTGCTGTACAAGATACGGACATGATATCCTATTTACAAACACCATTAGAATAAATCCCTCTATTCATTAAGAGAATGTAACTATATATCCATCCTAACCACTTTGAATGCACAGATACAAAATGAACATTCATCTGTATCCCCCTCTCCCTGTTGACATGCCTTTTATTGGTCTATGATGGGGAAAGGGGCAAGGAAGGATGGGATAAGGGAAAACAATGCAAATTAGTTATACATCTGCTGTCTCAGTTCATTGAAAAGGAAAGTTTGTCCTAATACCAATTGGAGAATTTTTTATGCTGATATCTTGTACTCTAAATAACTACTTTAAAAGTAACAGTATCCAATGTATTATCTACCTTTGTTCTATTATTTTGTTATGAAATTTTGTTTTGCTTTTTTTCCTTAAAATAAAATTTTAATAATAAAAGTATAGAAACCCTAAAATAAATCCATGTAAATTTAGTCAACTGATCTTTTGCAGAAAAACAACTGCCAGGGAAAATATATATGAGAAATATGATAGCAATAAGTCTGTAACTTTTAAAAATTGGAAATATTTTTGAGATTTTACATAAAAA